AGTGAGGCTAGCTCAAATTGTCCTCACACACTGACTGAAGGGTTTCTTGCTGTGGCTCAAGAGCTTTAGGAACACATCTTCAGTAGGGTAGTATCTAGGCAATTTTTGAAGCTTAACCACCTGGGTACCTCCATTCTTGTCCCCACTGACCGGTTTTGTGATCATAGCAAGAACTTTCTCCTTTTTCTTCTCAACCTTTGATTTAGCAGCTGTGTACTTTCTCTTGTGCAAAGACTTGCTGGAATACATGGCAGATCGGGAGTATCTACCAATTCCTCTAACCAGGACAGAATTTCGGCTGCAGTGGGGCTGCCCCTTCTTGGACTTTTTTGCCTTCTTCACCTTACCATTTTTACCAGTACCACTGGCAGAAGCCTTCTGGGCTTCAGATTTCTTCTGTTTAGTGTCTGGCTTCTCAGTTTTTTTCACCCACCATCTTGCGAGATGGGAAAGAGAGCTGGAGATCACTGCATTCCTAACAGTGGCTTCTAGAGCCAAGAAGTGTTCAATACTTTCTCATGCAGCACACATTTTAATGATCTTCTGTTTTCTCTTATACTTATAAAAGTATGACTCATATGCAAACAAACATTTAAGAAATGGAATAGAGCACAAAGAAACAAAAATAACCTATAAGCCACTAAACCGCAATTCTTGTCTGCTGCAGGGACTTTGTGTTCAACTTCAGGGAAAACAAAGCAGAGATGGAAGGAACAGAGAAGAGAATGTTCCATGAGTCATGCATATAAGGGACTCTGTGGGTTTATGTGCAAACAGTAGACACACATCCTCCCATGGGGAGGGCTGGACCAACACCAGCCAGGGACATGAGCTTGCCCCAGAGAAGAAGGAATTTCTCCTTCATAATCATTACAGATGCATGAGGTCAATTTTAAAAAAGGAACCCATCTACAAAGTAAAGCCTTTCAATATTTTGCTTGACTCAAAAAACTAAAGAATATATAATCATTGAAAAAATGGAAATGAAAGCAGAGTTCAGCTATAAGGAAAAGAGAACTGAGGTAATAGTCTTCCAAAACAAGGAGACTGATAGAATAAAGTGAGTGGGTTAGGGTATATGTATGAGCAGTTTTGTTGTTGCTGGTTTTGTTAACATTCTACTACATATCATTGAGATTTAGTAGCAGGGTAAATAAATGGCTTGGGGTGTTAGTCTTCTCAGGCTGCCTTGACCTTCTGAACTTAACATTTGAGAATAAAGTTTTAAGAGATAATTGCTATTGATTCATTGATTCTTTCACTAAATCTAACTTGAGGCTTACCACATCCAAACAGCATGGCAGTACCCCAGAAGAGGACTAACACAGCATGGAATCCATCTTCAGGAGCTCAGGCTAGCAGAGCCAAACTGAGAGAAGGCACCAAACAAAGTCCTCACAAGCAGCCACCACTCTGAGAACTAAGGAGGCTGCAGGAGGAAGCCAGCAGAGCTCCACATGGGACAAATATTGTGCTGAGTCTTGAGGTAACTGGTGCTCAAGGGGTCCACAAAAGTGTTTCTGAGGAGCACAGAGAACATGGAATGCAGGAAAAGTCCAGCTAGGCCTGAGCATTAGACACATGGGATGAGTGGGATGGAAGACTGCAGGACAAGACTGGACCAGTAGGTTGTGGTACCACATGGGACCCCAGGGGACATGACAGGGACTGTAGAACTTAGGCAGGAAACAAAGGGAGCCCAGCAGAGGTTATAGAAGTTGTTCCCACAGAGCAAGAGGAGTGGATAGATTTGGTAAGAGACCAGAAAGCGCTGCTGTTAGGAGGTTGTTTCATGGCTGAGTTGAGTGCGGGGAGCTGTGTGGAAGGATCTTGGAGCTTGGCCATGGCCACCGACCTGGCTGGGTGGCACAGACAGGGGAAGGAGCAATATCCTCAAATAGACAAATATGAAGCAGGAATCCTCATGTGGTGTCTCTTCTCTGAGGAAGGAAGAACAGAAACAAACATGCCCTTGACTCATGGATGGCTTTTGCTGGTAGGATCCCCAGGACCTGTTACCAACATCCACACCCCCTAAGTCCCTAGTTCCCTTGACCTTGACAAGAGAGGCGACCCTGAGCCCTTTGACCATGCCTCATGATTTGAGTCTCCAGGTCTCTGTGCAATTTGAGAAGGTAACCTGGGAAGTGTGGCCATTTAAATTTGCCTTCAAAGCTGTTACTGGCAAGATACAAATCTGATGATCTTTAAGTGGATCCTCTACTCTAACATCCTTATGGAAGGCAGCAAGCAGTCAGATCTTGGCTTCTTCCCTTCCAAAGTCCTGTCAGACTGTGGGATGCCATAGACAGTGGAACAGATCATCCAGGCCTTCCCCAGCATCTGCCACCATTCTGCCATAGAACTGGAGCAGCCCCTATGCTACAAGCTGTCATGGATAATCAGGACGTCCACAAGGGTCCAAGAGCAGCTATCACCACCAGAGGATAACACTGCCACAGCAGGCTGGCGGTCACTAGTTCTGCAGCACCTTGTTACCCTCCTGCCTGCTCCCAGAGGGTATGACTCTGGCTACTTTCATAGACCCTCTGCCTTAGCTCTCCACTCCCACACACCCAAGCCAGGCCTGCCTACAGCTGGATAACCCAGCAGGAAAAGCCTCACGAGGAGCTGTCAAAGCTCTAGCCATCACCTGCCCACAGGAAGCCAGGGGGGCTCTGGGACACTAATGAGCAGGAACCCAGGAGCCATGGGCATGGTAGCTCTGAGACATCACCCTGGCTGGAGAGGCAAGGAGAAAGGTGGAGGTGCCTATAAACGAGCTGCATTCATTCATTCATTCAACCATTCTTCCAACATCTGTTTTTTGGGGAACAGCACAGGTGACTCCAGGGGACACACTCCTGAGCAAGAGGGACAGCTGCAAATCCCAGCAGGCAGCCCTGAGACCACGAGCAGAATGCCATGCCAGTATGTGCCTTTGGCACGGGAGGCCTGGAGGCTTCAAAAAGGAGAAGTACATAATTTAAACAATGAAAGATGACAGCTGAAGGGCTGATGGGATAGCACTGGGAGAGCCCCCAGAGCACTGGGCAGGGGAGGCAGGAGCAGGCCCAGGCATCCATAAGACGCCATGGGCAACAAGATTGCTGTCCTAGGACACCGCATCTGGCCCTCCTAAAGGTTCCTAAGTAAGCAGTGGCTTGGTCAAACACATGAACCTGCCAATTTGCTAGGTAAAAAATGGACAAATGTCAGCAACTTTACAAGGGTCAACCTAGGCCTGCATGGCTCATGTGCTCACTCCAAGTGAGTTTCCCTCCTGAAGGATACAATGTCATGGGAAAGAGGAAGAGAAACTGTGCAGCTGAGCAGGGTGAGGAGGGGACAGTGGTCCTCAAGGACACATAGAGACCATGAGATGATGCTTGGGCATGAACCTTAGGAGAGCTGGTGGCCACCTGCAATGCAAGCCTTGTGTTGAAATATGCCCACTCAGGACCACCTGGAGGATGGCACAAAGGTGACCCTGGCAGCAGGGCCAGCTGCGGCCACTGAGATGGTCCTGCAGGAGCAGTGTGAAAGTAGGCATACAAGACAGGACTCAGGGACACATGGGACAGGAGGGCTCCTGCCCTCACAGAAGGGTGCAACCTTGAATCCACTGGCATGCAGTGGGGGGGGGGGGCTGGCACAGAAGGATAAAGGACAAAAACTTGCCCACTCAGCTCTGATGAGGAAGGAAGCCAACTGGCTCCGGCTGCCCACAGGCTAGCCACCATGTATGTGAGATTTAACTAAATGCTCTTCCTCTGGTGCTGTGGCAGGAGTCGCTGCCTGTGAGCAGTTCTCTGAGGTAGCAGTTCAGACGCACAGACCGCACCCTAAGCGGGCATCTCTCTGCCATTGTTCATGTTCCTTGAGCTAAAATTGCCCACTCAATAACCTATGTAACTTGTGGTATATATAACACTTATGCCTAAAATATGGTGGCAAGAAGGGCTAAGATCAAGAAGAACGTACCAGAAACCTGCCCAGGATACCTGAAGCGACAGGAAGACTGGCCTCAGATCCAAGCCCTCACTCACATGGATGTCACTGGGCCCCACTCTGCTGACCAGCGAGGTCACTGCTCCTCCCCATGTCTAGAGTGTGGGAGTAGGGGGTGGGGGAGGACTAGGCTTCCAGCCTGAAAGCACACCCTACACCAAGATGAGTACCCCTACTGGACAAAGGGACTCAGCACAGCAGCCCCTCCCAACACCTGCCCCAGGAGAAGCCTGTGTCGGCCTACTGCACTATCCTAGGAGATGGAGGTTTCAGTCAAAGGCTATCTAAAGACCTACTTAACAATTTCCAAAATAGTAGCAAAACATCCCCATAAAACTAAATGGCTCCCAGGGAAGAAAGCACATACTATATTCTCGTACTTGTTTCCTTAATGGGGAACAGATCCCGGTGGCTGGGATTTATTTTCAGAAGTACACATCCACAAAAACCAGAAACATCTTGACAGGCTGCAGCATCCCTAATGGTTCTCAACTCTGAATTCCTAATTGAGTTAAAAAAAAAAAAAAGGCAACCAGGAATTTTCACGCTGGTTTTGATTCAGGATTCAAAACAGAACCTATGATGTGCATTTCTATATTGTTCCAAGTCATGTATAAACTGGTTCCCAATCCTTCAGCCCCCACCCCCAACGCTGAAAAGAAAGGAGAAACAGATGGAGGCATGGATTCTGAACCCAGTGAACCAAAGAAGGTTGTTCTCTTATTACGAGATATTCAAGCTATCCTATGTTCTCCCCCAAACGCTTTAGACAGCTTAATCCATTTGCTAGTTAAAAGAGGAGACCGAGGCTGGGAGATATTTGTGTAGCACCTGTTCTTTCCCACAGGGAATAAAGAGAACATTTCGATTTTTCCTTGTTAATTTATTATAGAAATTGACTACCCTTTTTCATTGCTTAAACTAAATCCCAATACAATAAAGCATTCAGACATACCACAGAGTCTGTAATGTAGAAAGCATCCCCTTACCTGAGCAGTTTGCCCTCCAGCATTTCCATGTACTTCACAGTATTTTCCTTCACATTTGCTTCTGCAAAACAAAAATCCAATGTGAATCGCCTTGCAGTCACAATTGAACAACACCGAGAGCTATCCAGTTAGGAGCCAGGCCCGAAGCACCATGGCCAAGCCATCATAATGGCAGCATCCCATGCTGTGAAACACTCAGGTCCACCGGGGGTGCCGCCTGCATCCTGCAGTGGGGAGGATTCTCAAGCTCCAAGTCTTTTTGCAAGGACAGTTAAGAGATGGGGGAGAGGTGTCACTCTGCTGCCCTGGATTGATTCTTCCCTGGGGGACTTCTGGTAGTCTATCACTGGTTCATAGGATTCAGTACACGCTTCTCAGTGGGCAAGGGATAGGTTATAGAATACAGGGTATAGAACTGAAAAGTGGAAAATTTTGTGACTATAAATATTTTGGGAGGGAGGGTTGTTTTGTTTTGATGCAGGGTCTCTGTGTAGGCCTGAACTCACTATATACACCAAGCTGGTCTCAAACTCAGGGTAGTCCTCTAGTCTCAGCTTCCTGACTGCTGAGATTAGAGGCATGCTCCACCACACCCGGCTGAGACTATTAATCTTAATTGCCATCTTGATTGCATTGAGATTGGATTGTGAGGGCATTAACTTCATGAATTAATCTATCAGTGAATTCATAACTCAATGTGCTTACTGGGAGGTGGAGCCTACTGAATGGATGGGTCCCTGTGGGTATGATTTTGAAGGGCACATCTTGTCCCTGAGCCCCTTCTTCTCAGGCTCCTTTTCTCTCACCCTGTTTCCTGGTTACCGTAAGGCGAGCAGATTTCCTCCTGTACATCCTTCCATCATGATGCCTTTGCTCTGGAATCAGCCAACTATAAACTGGAACCTCTGAAACCATGAGCCCCAGTAAACTTTTCTTCCTTTAGGTTGCATATGTCAGGAATTTTGTCCCAACAATGGAAAGCAACCTAAGATAAGTTTCATCCTACAGATGAACCAAGGAACGTCACTATTGGTATCAGAGGACTGTAGATCCATTCACTGAGAAGCAAATAGTAATGTGTGATCCTCCTGTGAACAGGAATTTTGCACTCACCTCCAGTGCCTGAGTGATTGGTTACCACTTGAGTGAATTCAGTGCCTCCTAACCACTACAAACATATTGAGGGGAGCAATTATTGTTATGGTTCAGAGGTCCAAAGAGGCACCTTACTGATAAGGGCTTGGCCTGCTCTCCAAGTTCTAATGCCCCCTGCTTCCTCCTCTTAGGACTGTGTGTCTTCCTTTCACAGTTCTAAGGAAATGAGATGTATATTCAGTGTGCTCAAAACCTGCCATCAAGGGTTTCCTTCCAACAGTGGTTGTGTTACTGATGGTGCTGATACTTCTCTTACTAGTAGTACTGCTATGGTGGGATTTTATCATCATTTTTATTCCAACCTGAATTTATGCTCAAAGGCAGTATGTGCCTAAGAGCCCACCAGCACTCTAAACTTGGGGAATGAGCAAGAGCCAAAGCCAAGCTATGCAGATTTGAGCTGCTGAAATCTGCTTTAGAGACTCAGGACCCATTTTGGTTAGTATAATATGCCAGGATAAGGGACAGCCATGCAAGTTTGGAGCTGAAAATATATCCTGAAATTCTCTATAACAAAACAAAATATCTGATCAAAATTAGAACAATTAATTCTGGTTCATTATATCAACAAAGACAAAGAGAAATTTGTACAACAAAAGCAACTGTTTAGGCTTCATTCTTCCCACAATTCTGGTTGCAGATTGAATGGACAAGGACCAAATCAAACGTCCCCATAAGGCCAACATTGAACCTGAGCACTGAATCTGATTCAGTTCTCATCCAGTTTGGTTTGCGACCAGAATTGTGCAAAGAATTAAGTTTGTGAACTGAAGTTCCACTTTTATATTTCCAAATAAATATGGAAATGCAAGTGTCCCTCAGTACCCATGACACAATGGTCCTAGGAGATAACAAACCCCAAAACCCTCAAATTTATTATATAAAATGGCATAAGATTTGTACCAAACCTAAACACGTCCTCTTATATGCTTTAAATCATTTCTAGACTCTTATAAAGTCTCATACAATGTGAATGACATGTAAATAGTTGCTATAGTATATTGTCTAGGTAATCATTACAGGGAAAATGGTTCACAAATGTTTAGAGCAGATGTAATTTCTGTCTTGAAATTTTCCATCTCAGGTTGACTGAATCTGTGTATGCAGATTCTGTAGATATGGCAGACCAATAGTCCTGTATGTTACTCTCTACTATGCATCAAATGTTGTGTGAACATGGAAACCTGGCTACTGTCATGCGTCTTGTGAAGTGGGTGAATCGGGAGCAGGTGGAGCCAGTTCCAAATGTCCCCACCAGAGCTGCTCCTGCTGTGGCCCATCCCACCCACGGTGCATGTGCGTGCCACTCTCATATTTCAGGTGAGTCGGCCTGCAGAACCTGCACAGAGCCATCCTGCAGTGCTTATGTTCCAGCAGGGTCACTAGTAAAAAGTAAACATGAAAGTTCCACAGGCGGTGGTAAGGGGATTTAAAGAAAGGTCAAATAGAGTGTACAGAGTCATCAGAGCCAGCATCACTGGGATGGTAGCATTTGAGTGAAAGCCTGCAGAGGACTAGGGAGAAGGCCTGTTTGCATCCTGTGAAGAACAGAGCAAGTAGGAGGAACAGCAAGGCTAACGGCCCTGGGGCAGGGGCACACTGGGGTGCTCCAGAAACCTGTGGCTGGAGCCTAGTGCTCCACAGGGAGAAGAGTGGAGGGCAAAGCAAGACCAAGGTGCCATCACGTGCCACTGAGGCAGACTGGACTCCTAAAGCACGGCCATGGCAACATCCCAGTCCCACATCAGGCCAGACCCAGGGGCCCTTCCATTCCCTATTAAAGCAGTGAAACTCATTTCCCTCCCCTTGAGCCTGGACAGGCTGTGAGACTGCAGTTAGCTGAGTGTGATGGAAAGCACTCCATGTCATTTCTGAGATGCAGGGAGCCCAGCTCTGACAAGAACCTTCTCCTAGGAACCTGGCCACCGTCGGGGGAGGAAGCCCATACCCTTGGTGAGGCTTCCAGACCCAGGTGTGAGTTGGCTGTGAGATAGGCTGTGCCTTCAGTGTGAGGGACCCAGACATCACAGAACTGAGACAAGCCAGCCCTCCTTCACCTGCCCAAGTTCCAGACCCAAATCTCTGAGCGCAATGCCTGGGCATGTGAAACGGGCAATCTGATGCACTCTGACACACAGCAGCAGTGCTGGGAAGCTAGGACCAAAGCTCTGCAAGTGCTAAGTGAAGTAGGAAATGTGGCAGAATGACCTGGGCCAATTCACAGCTGCGATGTGGAGGATGGCTGCGGGGAGCAGAAGACATGGGGGTTAGCACCCTCTGAGGAGGGGATGCGGGGATGGGGGAGCGAGAGCCGGTCCTCACCATCACAAGAGCTGGTCCTCACCTGATAGCAGCCTAATGAGAGAAGGACATGACATGTTGCCAGAATAGAATAAAGATGCGAAGACCCTGGGGAAACTTTCCATGCTAGAACTGATAGCAAATGGACAGTGTGGAGAGAAGTGACTGCACAGGAGGGGTGTGACCCAAAGGTGAGACAGTGGGGGACTGTGTAAGGCCAGTCTGCTCAAATTCCTCCTAGCCCCATCCTATATGCCATTTTTTTCCTCTGGGTGTAGGCAAGACACTAGTCCTGTGATGGCTTTCTGACCTGCCTTCTGGGGTGCAGGTGAGAGAGTTCCTTTATGGCTAGCTTTCCCTCCACAAGGAAAGGTAAGACAGGGAGACCGTTGTGCTTCTAGAGTACCAGAGTCTGCAGTGCTATGTTGTGAGGTGGTATGGCAGAGGCTTAGCCAGGGTGTCAGCAGGCAGTGACGGAGGCAGAGTTTAGGTACTTTTAAGGTAGAGATGCCAGGGTGGCCGGGTGGGCTGAAGGTCAGGTATGAGAAAAAAAAAAAGTCAAGCATGACCACAGGATTTTTGTCCTGGGCAAAATAGTTGCCATCAACTGAGTTGGGACGGGCTATGAGCAAAATCAGCTTGGAAAGACAAAGCAAGAGGTCAGGTCTGGAGTTAATAACTTTGGGAAGCTTGTTAGATGCCCAGTGAGGCGTGCCCTGTGAAAGCAGGTGTCTGAATATGGAAACTGAGAAGATTCCAGAGTGCAGGCCAGTATCAGGGGACACTGGCATTTGAAGCAGTAAGACTGGACAACGTCTCTTGGTAGGGAGAGTCACTTAAGTGACCACTGGCAACGGTCATTGTGATAGCAGCTTATCCCAAAGGACAAACAGAGAGCACCTCCTGTTAGGAAAAAGGAAGAGAAGAAGCAGAACAGGGTTATATCAGAACAAACCTGAGAGGAACCACTCTGGCACTAGAGACTGGACTAGTTGCTCTCCTATATGCTGTCAGGTCTTTTGTAGGGTCATGCAGAAGGGAGAGTCCAGTAAGAGGGGCTGCGGCTCCCTGCCAAGAACAAGGTTAGACAGAGCATAAGCAGTAGTGGCTGCTCAAGGATGCGGCTTGGAAAGCTTAGGGAGTCCTGGCTCCTATTAATGGCAGGACTTGGGCCCAGGATATAGCTGAGGGGCACAAGTGCAAGGGCCTGTGTATGATTCCCAGTACCAAAAAGGAAAAGAATAGCAGGGCCAGTCATGTTATGAGTCCCCAACTGCAGTTGTGCTGTGAGGGGAAGTTTAGAGGGGAAAATAACAGTCAAGAATGACCACTCTTTGATCAGGATGGCAATGGATTCCTTCATCTACAATGAGAACAAATTCACCAGTGTGCTTAAAAATAATCCAGATCCCTCCCAAACTAGTGCTTTTGTTAAGAAATCAAATGCTAAATGCTTGACTCGTCCAACATCTAAAGGGGCAGCTGGTGCCGTGCCAGACACACTAGGCCAGCCCAGAATATCTGGACCGTTTCCTGTGCATTCCCAGTGCCTGGGAGACACCACTTCCAGGACCCACATGCAGATCCCATTTGTGGGCACTGACC